AGTCTACCAACCTGAAGTTGTCCTCCGAATTATGGTGCAAGGTCGAAGCAAAATTATCGGAGATGGTAGTTGAACATCTCCTAACGACCGATGGCAACGAAGTCCTGAGCTTCGATTCATCTGAGGTAGTCAGGGGCTACAGGGTGATCAAATGCGAGGACCGGCTTTCCGGGGATTTTCTTAGTTCGTGTGTTGCTAAGATTAGCGATACGTGGGATGGGTCCAAGATTGAGCTCATCCCAGCTAAGGAAATTCCTAGGAGACCCCGGGCTCGTATTTGGATCCCTAAGATGAATATTGCGGGGGACAAGTTGCTAAAGGTCCTAAAGATTGCCAATCCTGAGGTGCCGATGGATGATTGGCAAATTATCAAGAAGGAGGAACCTCAGAAAAACAGTGAGTCCTTCCTACTTCTCATTAATGAGGAGAGTCTACAGCCGTTGGACAGGAGGGACAACAGACTGCGGTTTGGCATACGGCATGCCAAGCTCAAAATATTTCGAAATGCGGACCCAGAAGGGGACGCCATAGAAGAAGCGAGCCAGCTCCTTGAACAGATGGAGGTGGCTGATAAGAGCAAGAGCGATGAGGGTAATCCAGGTTAATCTCAAGCATTCGAGATTAGCCTCGGATAACCTATTGATCTTCCTAGAAGAGGAAGACATCGACATCGCTCTAATTCAGGAGCCTTGGGTGAACGGTAACAGGATAAAGGGACTGGGCACCCAGAAATACAACCTATTCTACAGGATTGTAGATCCAGCTGAAGGTAAGATCAGAACTTGTGTCTTAACTAAAAAACATATAAAAGCCTTTCTTTGCTCTAATTTCAGTACCGCAGACATGACGGTGGTGAGGATTGAAGGAAACGGCGGGAACCTATTAATGAGCTCGGTCTACATGGCTCATGATAGGCCTGCTCCACCTCCGGAAGTTCAAAACCTAGCAGGGGTTGGCGCAGCCGAAGGAGCAAGTCTGCTTATGGGTTGCGACGCCAATGCCAGACATACCCTCTGGGGCAGCACAGAGATCAACGAACGAGGTGAGTCTTTATTTAATTTTGTCTTAGATAGTAATCTAGAGATAGCAAATAGAGGCAACACCCCTACCTTCACTTTTCCTAGCACAGACAGGTTTGCTGGCTGGGAAGATGTGATAGATATAACACTCAAAACTAACAACTGTATAATCGAGGACTGGAGGGTATCTAGCAAAAGGTCGTATTCTGACCATGCCTGGATAGTCTTCACGGTGGGATTCGAAGTTGGGAATCCCAAACCTTTTAGGAACCCTAAAAGAACAGATTGGGTTAAATTCAGAGCCATCGTGCGGGCCAAGCTCATGGTCATGCCCGATATTAACAACTATATTAAGGAAGTCGAAGAACTTGATGCGCAAATCAGTAGATTTGAGAAAGTCATGGGCGTGGCTTTCAGAGCATCCTGTCCTTTGAAATATTCAAAAAAAAAGTATCCCCCGTGGTGGAACGAAGATTTGAGTAATCTCCGGAAGATTACCAGGGATGTCTTCAATATCTGCTACAAGAATGGGTTCTGGCAACCTTATAAGGAGTGCCTGAGAGAGTATAAAAGGGCTATCCGTTCCGCAAAAAGCCAGGGTTGGAGGGATTTTTGCGGAACTGTAGAATGTACCAGGGATTCTGCCAGATTGAGCAGAGTGCTTTCCAAGGACCATACCAGTCCTTCTTTTCTGAAGGATGAGGGTGGGACATGGACAAAAACGTCTATGGAGACTCTCAATTTACTAGTGGACACGCATTTCCCGGGTAATACCGGGTCGGCTCGGGAGGCTATCCAGTTGGATTCCCTTCCGGGGCAGCCTGTGTCGAGTGAAATGGTTGAAGCTATTATAACGGTGGAGAAGGTTAGCTGGGCGATAGATAACTTCTCTCCATACAAAACGGCGGGGATAGATGAGATATTTCCAGCTATGTTGCAGGAGACGAAGGAACTAATAGTTCCGTGGCTTCTAAAAGTTTTTAGAAGTTGTCTTATCCTTGGATACGTGCCCAAGTCGTGGAGACGTGTAAAAGTTGTTTTCATTCCCAAACCGGGAAGAAGGGGCCATGAGGGCGCCAAAGATTTTCGACCAATTAGTTTGACTTCCTTCGTTCTAAAAGCGCTGGAGCGCGTTCTGGAGCTAGGGCTCAGGAACAGAATGAAGGAAGTTCGACTTTCGCCTTCCCAGCATGCATATTGCGGGGGAAGGTCCACAGACACCGCACTACACGAGGTAGTGAGGACTATCGAACAATCTATCCATTATAAGCAATACACGTTGGCGGCCTTTCTAGACGTGGAAGGGGCTTTCAACAATATTGGTTCGTGGGCCATAGAAAATTCTCTGACTCAGTTGGGGTTGGAAGATGCTTTGGTACGCTGGATATTATCCATGCTGCGGACCAGGATCCTGTATTCGGATCTTGGTGATAGTAGTGTCGCAAGGTACATTAGTAGGGGAACGCCCCAAGGTGGGGTGATTTCGCCACTTTTGTGGCTTGTTGTTATGAACGAGGTTCTACTGCAACTTGAAGAAAGGCGAGTGAGGGCAGTGGCATACGCTGACGACCTAGTAATCCTGGTTTCCGGCTTTGACCTTCCAACAATCAGTGGGGTTTTGGAAGGATCTCTAAATGTGGTGAGCTCTTGGGCTAAAAGATGTGGCCTTGGAGTGAACCCAGCCAAGACGGAACTTGTACTTTTTACGACTAAGACAAAAATCCCGAGCTTTGGACTGCCCCGATTGGGTGGTTTGCGGCTCAGTTTGAGTCCGGCAGTTAAGTATTTGGGAGTCATACTCGACTCTAAACTTAACTGGAAGCTTAACGTGCAAGAGAGGGTGAACAGGGCCTGTACGGCACTTTACACCTGCAAAAAGATGGTCGGCAGGAGGTGGGGGCTGAAACCTAGAATGGTTTTATGGTTATACACGGCCATTGTACGACCTATATTAACTTACGGTTCACTCGTGTGGTGGCCGGCGTTGGGGAAAGCTTACAACTGTACCAAGATCGGTAGGGTACAGAGGGCTGCATGCATAAGCATTACGGGGGCATTGAGATCGACGCCCACGGACGCTATGGATGTACTCCTCCATTTGCTTCCACCAGACATCCATATTAAGAATCTGGCCGCGGCAGGCGCCGTTAGACTCAGAGAAGCTGAGTGCTGGCACGAAAGGCCGTATGGCCACGGCAATGTCCTTCAGTCACTACCGGACGGAGTGGTTGCGGATGCTACAGACTATTGCATCCCTAGACTTGAGCTTGACAAGAAGTTTCGGGTTGAGCTTCCGTCTCGCGGGCAGTGGAAAAGAAATCTTCCACTGCAAGGCTTTGATGTTGCTCTCTTCACTGACGGTTCCAAGGATAGGAATGGGGTCGGTGCTGGAGTATTTTCAGAGACTCAGAACATATCGGAGTCATATCGCCTTCCCAACGGGTCAAGCGTGTTCCAGGCGGAAGTATTCGCCATATGGAAGGCATGCGAAATCCTGGGAAGGGATTTGGTTGTGGCCCGGGAGGTCGCAATTGTGACGGATAGTCAGGCTGCGATTCTGGCTCTAAATTCGCCAAAGATATTCTCAAAGTTGGTAGGGCTTTGCTACGATGAGCTGACGAGATTGTGCAGTCATCATAGTATCACCTTACTCTGGGTTCCGGGACATAGGAACATACCAGGAAACGAGCGGGCTGACGGGCTGGCCAGATGTGGGTCGGCATTGGACGGCTCCAGGGCCGAGCGAGTTCTTGTCCCTATAAACACCATCAAAACTGATATATACCGCTTCCAAGTGGCATGTGCGGACCGCAGGTGGAGGGGCCTGAGCACATGTGCAACGGCTAGGAAGACGTGGCCGAAATACGACCATAAGAAATCAATGAGCCTCCTGGCGATGCCTCGACCGGACATAGCTAAGTTAGTGGCTGTGTACACGGGGCATTGGCCTGTGGGAGATCATGCAGCTAGGCTGGGAATTCCCTTTAATACGTCATGCCGCAGTTGTCGGGAGATAGACAAAAAAGAGACGCTTTTTCACTATCTCTGCGAGTGTCCGGCTCTTCAGGGGGCCAGGTTGTTGTCATTTGGGGAAACGGACATAATGGAACTGGGGAACATTTCTAGTAAAAGTATCGGGGACGTAAATAGGTTCCTTAAAAGAACGGGGTGGCTCTGATCGCTGGCCCTGGACCAACGTACTTTGACAACCGGGTTTCACGAGGCGGTGGTAGCAAAACGGCACGTCAGTGCTAATTGGGGTGTTGGCCAGTCGGGTCGCACCGGCCACTCTAACCAACCAACCAACCAATGGTAAAAAAGTGAATTATGATTAAGTCTTAATAAATGAGATGCTTATAAATAGTAAAAATTTCTTAATTTTATTTAAAACAAATTGTTCAAATTTTTCTATTTACTTATATCTAATTCAAAAGAATAATAAAATCAAATGAAAATGAAGTCAAGAGTAACTATAAATACTGTAATAACCTTGTCCAATGTTATTTTTTTAATAATTGTGTGAATAATCTTGTAATATTATAATTATAATAACCACATACAATGCATTTCTATATAAATATATGAGAATTTCAACCTTTTTATCAAATTTTATTACATTAATAATTTGATCATAACATTTTTCGAGGAAACTTGAATAAGAAAAAAAAAATTTCTTATTTTTTTACAGAGTTTTTTTTTTCACACAAAACAATGAAATGGAAAACCCAATGAAAACAAATAAAGATTAAAATTAACAAGTTCAAATGAAACAAACTATTGTGAATTTTATTTTAATAACGGTGTAATTTTCAAATGGTTCAGAAGAATAGCGGTATTTTATTATCATTTACAATGTCATTGGGAATACCTCGAGATCGTTATATTATTCACAAAGGTAATTTTTTTTTTATGTTATAATTTAATTGATTAATTTCTTTTAATTTTATTAAAATTAATTCACAAAATATTATAGAGACATACCTCATCTGGAAAATCTCCTAAATGACGAACATCTTCTGTTTCTAAACGTTCTTCGATTTCTTCATGTGAAACAATATGTTTATTATCAATTTCACGTACAAGTCCATCTTCTTGACGTGGTGTAAGTACAAGACCATCATCATCAACTTCATCAGTTTTTAAAACAATAGAACTACCAGGTTCTACTTTTGACCATTTTTTTCGTCGTGTTTTATTTAATGAAGCTTTTGAATCTTCAATTGGTTGTAAAATTTCATTATCAATTTCTTTTGTTTTATTATTTTCAGAATTAGGTGATCCAAAATTAACACGCTTAACAATATGAAAAAGAAATAAAATTGTAATATGAAAATGGTTTTTTTTTTTTCCAAAATATTTAGAATTTATTTTTTACCTCAGTTGTTTCTGATTCTTTTTTATCTGTATCCTCGGTTGTATTTGTTGAAACCATTGGTCCTGAATCATCAACAACTTTACCATCTTCAAGTACAACTTGTCGTTTAACTCGTGTTTCTATTTGACGTGTCGTTGTTAATTCTGTTTTTTTCTTTGTCACCCATTCCTCTACAAAAAAAAAAACCAAATGAAAATTAATTAAAAATCAATTAAAATTTAAATTATTTAATTGTTCTAAGAAAATGCAATAAAATATTTAAAGAGGATTTTTTTTTAACCTAACCCAACCTAAATTTTAATTTAAATCAAGTACATTTGAACTAAAAATTAGATTCCAAAATAATTTTCATACAAATATTGTGAATTAGCAATTTCATACAATAAAAGTGTTCTCCCAAAAGTATGCAAGCAAGATCATTAACCTTTTGTTCTCAATATTTTTGTAAGTACAATGTAGTATTCAACAATCAAGGTTATTTAAAATGTCTAAAATAAATGGTAGATAAAAAAAATCTTACTGCCTTCTTATATTACATAATAACCTCATAAATTAAATTAAAATATAAATTACAATATTATTTATCTGTTATCTGAACTTATGCTCTTTTTCTTTAATACATACATGAATACGTAACGGAAAAAGTATATACTATGTCTAATATTTTTTATATTTTATTTTTTAATTGGTAGGCACGACAACTTAAATTTTAACCATAAGAACACTGAATAAACCGCATAGCAATTGTTATGAGTATTATTAAATGCGTTTAAAACCTTTAATATGAAAACTTGTTTTACATACATATACGCTCTAATTGTTATTAATACCAAATTGTTAAATGGTTTTGTAAAATCGTATTGCAAAAGAAGACGATCAGTATAAATTGTGTTGCGAAAAAGATAAAATCTTTAAAAGTTCCTCCTCTAATTTACATATTTACCTATTTTCTATTTCATTTAAAATGCTAGGAAAAAATGAAAAAATATTTTGCATATTTTCGATTTTAATTAGTTTCGAAATGATAATGTTACATAAAAATGTTTGTTTTGGAAAATCTTTAACTAATTCAAATATTAATTCCACAATAATAACAAAAACGTATTACAAAGACACAGCGATAAATTCAAAAAAATTTTATGGTTTACCAAATACCAATCAATTGGTAAAGAATAATTCAATTTCTTCCAGAACTGTTAAAGGATTTTTAAATATTTTTGATGTAATTGTTTTTGATAATGTACAATGTACAACAAATACTACAGACAATATATTAAATGGAACTTGTTATAGTAAAAAAGAATGTCAAAAAATGGGTGGTTTAAATATGGGTAGTTGTGCGGATGGTAATGGAGTATGTTGTGTTTGTATGATGTTATAATAGAATATATATTGTGTTTGCATAAAAATATTAAAATTTTATAGTTAAATATAACTGCGGTTCATTTTCTATGGCAACTGTAAGCTATTTTCAAAATATTGAATATCCACAACCATCATTAGAATCTATAGTTTGTACATTCACAATAGCTTTAAATGAAAATATACAACAAATTCTTTTGGAGTTCCTTATATTTGAGGTATATACTATCTGTTATACAAGTTTGTTTTTTTATATTATATATTGTAATATTTTTATTGAATATCTTTTTATGTATATAAAGCTGAGACGTCCAACAGATGGCAATTGTGATGATGATGAATTTTTAGTTACTGGACAAAATAGAAATTTCATAGTGCCTCTATTATGTGGAATTAATACTGGTCAACATAGTATGTGAAAATTTTAAAATTCCTTATTTGAAACCAAATTTTCTAAAGTTAAAATTAATATAAGCCCTATTTGCTCAAAATAGTTAATCACAAATAATTTAAATCTAATTCACAAAAAAATAATTAAAATTTTCAATTTTAAAGTGTTCATAGATGTTGATAAATCACCAACAAAAATTATTCATTTGTCTATTTATGGAAAGTTGCCGTACCAGAGAACTTTTAATATAAAAGTCACACAGGTATTTATTTTCTTATACTTATATGTATTCATAATTCTTTACAAATCCTAAATTAATTATTTGTGCTAATAATATTCAGGTTCAGAACCGTATTACATCAAAAGGATGCTTACAATATTTCAGTGGAAGAAATGGTATTATTAAAAGTTTTAATTATGATGTAGTAGGAGATACTGTTGATTCAAAAGAAGAAGCAAGTTATTTTGTAAGCAATTATAATATTGATTGATACATGGTATTAAAAATTCAAATTATAACAAATATTGTAGAATAATCTTAACTATGCTATATGCATTGAAAGAGAGGAAAATATGTGCAGTATTACTTATACTAATGTAATAAATGATGAGATGTCAGATTTCAGTATAGTAAATGTTGACACTTGTTCGTAATTTTATAATAATTATTTTGCTTATATAAATATAAGTAAAGGATATTCATTGTATCTGTTATACTGTATTCTGAGATTTTATTATTTGCATTTTAACAAGGTAATAAATAAATTATATGGGGTATTTGAAGTTATTGTTGAATATCTTCCAATAATCAAAATACTTTGCATTTATAAATGCGTTTTGTACTTATAATAACTTTATGAAAAAAAACGCTTATAGGATATATTAGCAATAAGTACAAGGATTCCTGATATAGAAAAATTAATGTTAGAATTCCTAGTACAGCAAGACAATGAATATTCTTAAATATCAAAATAGAACCTAAATTGATGACGTATTCAATGCAATATTTTATGTTTTATATAGATAAAAATTCACCATCTTTTGTAAATTATTGTCCAGATGATTTCTTAGCTATAAATGGTGATCGTTTATGTGGAGAAATATTAAGTGATACAATTGCTTCAAAATCAATATATGATGATGCTGATAACCCTCATTCAATAACAGATTATGGAACGGGACCAATTATTTTATCATTTAAGAGTGACAATATGTACGTTGGTAGAGGTTTTAAAATCCATTATGAACAAAATTTTTGTAACTAATAATCAAAAATTATTTGAAATAAAAAATTTTATATGTAATTTTTTTTATCACGGTTGTTAATTTTTTTTCGTTATGGAAAACTGTCAGAGGCAAAAAGACTTACAAAAAATATAAAATTTAAATAAATACAAAATTTACCTTCTTTGGTTATTGGCTTGGCATCATCATCATAATCCTCATTATCAGCATCAACCTGTGAAGAATCATAATCATAAAAATTTATCCTTGTTACATGACGAGTGTATTCCTTAGTTTTATCATCATTGTAATTGGAAATGTCATCATAATATTTTTGATTATTTGTTGATAAATTATTAATATTTTTTGGTTTATTATGATAATAATAAAAGCTTTGATCTTTTTGTCGGGGTGGTTTTGGAACATAATTTGGTAAATAATCAAAATCAAAAGTAACATTATGTGATTTACGATTATATGATCGTGTCGAAGTTTCTTGATTATGATTTGTTCCATAACTATTAGTATTATTGATATTATTTGATTTTTTTGAATTCGATAAATAATTATTATTCTTAGATGGTAAATTATATTTATAATTATATTTTTCATGACTAGAATTACTTGGTAACTCATCAATATCTTGATAAGATTCCCGTTCAACATATACATGAGAAATTGATTGATGAGGACGTTGATTGAAATTATTTGTAGAAGTTGGTATATTTTTTCGATCATATTCTTTAAAATGATCATAATATAAATTTCTATTTTTATTTATATTATAAGAATTCTCATAATAACTTTTATTTTTATTATTATTTTGAAAATTTAACTTGTTTCCATTATGTTGAACTTGATTATTAGTTGTAGGTATCACAAATGTGTCAGCAGTGGATGTTAATACAGTTTTATTTCCACATATTTCAGTAGTTTCATCACAGCCATTTTGATTTGGAGATGGCTTCAATAATAAAATTACGACCATTCGATCATAATTTTAATCGATTATTATAAGCTCAGTAAATTATAAATTTAAAACACTATTTATAATGCTGTTACAGTTTTAATTTGTCAGAGTTTGTGACGCAAAGCCATTTTTTTTTAAATCTTATTAAATTTTATCATTTTGAGTTTTTTTAATTTATTCATTTTGATGTTATTTTTGATTTCAAAAGCTCAAACATTTTAAAATACAATCAAACACTTAATTCCATTAAGGATAAGATATTCAAATCCTTTAAATATAAACTGCAAATTACTACAAACTTTCATATTATTTATTTTAAAAGTTCAAGTTTAGAAGTAATGTAAATGTACGTTAGTATATGTAATTTTCTTATGATTTTATGAAACTCTTTTTTTTCTGATTTTAAATTAAAAATGTTTTTCAAAAGAGAATTGCTTATAAGGTCAAGGACAAAAAATTTCAAAACATTAAAATCAAGAACATTGATCGTAAAATTTTTACAAACAATTTTTATAACCCTCAATTTAGCTTTAAAAGTAGTTTATTTCTTAAAATTAATTATAAAGCTTACGATTAACTCACACGCAACAAGTGTAATATGATTGAAAATATCAAAATACGTAATAAAATGTACTCTTGAATTTTGTATTCACATAAAACAAGAAGTGCGAATGAACATAAACAAATTTTTAAATATATGTACACAAATCTGTTACTGCATAAGCTTCGTAAAATATAATGATCTTAAAATTATTAAGCCAGTCAGCAAATACCAAAAGAAAATAATTGTCACTACCACCGATCAAAAATAAATTTGAATCAACTGAATGGTTTGTAAAGTAGCACATTTCACTTAAAAAAATAGAAATACTGTTTTTTTTTTTAAATAATATTCTGTTTACATAATAGCTAGACGGGATTTATTTATATGTATATTCACATATACGAATTTTTAGTTCAAATGATAATACTAAAATGTATCATCAATAATTCAATGAAAAATTATTGCATACTTTCGGGATAAAAATAGAATAATGTTGGGTTTACGATAAATATTTACATTTTTTCTCGGCAAGATAATACCGTTATGTTTTTGTTTGTTTTTACAGAAATTCTGAAAGGAATTTGCGATTTCGTAAAAACAATCTGTAAAATTTCGAAACTATTGTAAGATTTTCTGAAAAGCGAAATTGAAAAACCTTCTCAAAAAAAAAAAAAATAGGTTTTTCACAAACATTCAGTTTAATATGAAATTTTAAATTTCTACCTTAAAATGTGTAGAACATTCTTTAAAGAAAATAGGCGGTCGTACAGCCGCTAGGGCTTAATTAATAAGCATATTTTTTTCTGCACTAAAAACTGCTTGCTCTTATTATTTTTAGCTTGAATATGATTTCTGCATTTGATTTTTTGTTTTGCACGAATTGTAAATATATGTATATTGTTGTACATATTTAATACCTTATCATTTTAATTTTTCAAGTTAACGAACGTGATTGCTATAAAATAAAAAAACGAATATTAATGAATAGATAAGTTGAGATGAATAAAACTTATAATATTATATGTGGTACACAAAATTCCATATACCTACATATTTAGAATTTAGAAATTATATAAATCAGTGTAATTTTAAAACTATAAGTGAATTATATAGCTTTGAATTCCTACAAATTAATTATACAAATATGGCGGCTTAAAAATTTACTTGCACATTACATCATTATTTAATTTTAATTATAATTATAAAGAAGTTAAGCAATTTAATTAATGCAAACTCTTAATAAAAAAATTATTTGAATTAAGTAATTTTGTGTATGAAAAATGCTTTGTTTCTACAATAAAAATTGTTTGCTCCAATTTTAATTATTTGAAATTAAAAATTTATATACCAAAAATAAATATTAGTTTACTAAAACAAAAAAAAAAATTTGTTTTTTTTTTCGATTATAGCAAATATTGTTTGAATTTAATTAAACGTTTTCTTATTCAAATTGAAAATTGTAATTAAAATCCAATGCAATGTTCTCGAGAATCAATAAAAAAAAATTTCTTTACTAGATAACGGTGCTATAAATTTTATTTAAAAATAAATTTTAAATGGTTTATGTGTGGCATTCTTCTGTATTTTTTTAGCCAAAAATAAATACAAAATTTATTACGATTTAATTTCCGACCTTAAAAAATAAATATTAAATAGTTTCTATTGTTTCAGATCAATTACACTAGTTCGGAATTTAAAATTAATTTTTTTTTACTCTACGTACGTAATAAGAAGATTTTTAATTTCTCTCTTCTTTTTCTAACTAAACTCAAGAAACTGTTATTCATAAAATATACATACACTTATTTGTTGTTGAGTATCTCTTAACATATACTATTTTACTTCAGATATTTTTGTAAATGTAGTTGTACGGGTATAATAATAAAAGTCAGAGAGAAAAAGTTCTTTTGTGTAATTTAATTTCGACTATTAAGTAAAGAACATTCGTTGTGCTTGCTGGCTGTTATTAAAACGAGTATTAAATGAAAAAAAATTCGCCGTAACTCTACCTAAATACATTTACAATATTTTATTATTATTGTATTATTATTTTTATTCTCCAAATTTAACTATGATCACTGATTGAATTGATCAGTCAGAAAGAAGTCGTTCATTGCAAATAACCGATAAAATAATTAATGTCGGACAAAATATATTTTTTTAATGTAAATGCATATACCTATAAACCTACTCTTCTTTTGAGCGATGAACTAATAAAATAAAATAAAAAAACACACAACAAACTGATAAAGTTTAAGTAGGTTTCATGTGATAAAGTAAAAACAAAAAAAAAATATTTATTTGAGTTTTACAATAAACAATTCAAATATAATATAAAAGTGAAAAGTAATAAAAAAAATGAAATTTGCTGAGCATTTAGCGGCACATTTAACACCAGAATGGCATAAGCAATATATTAATTATGAGGAAATGAAAGCAATGCTATATCAAGCTTCAGAGCAAGCACCATCAGCTGAAAATGTTGACGATGAAATTTTACAAAGACATTTTGCTAATTTCGATGAAAATTTTTTTCATTTTTGTGATCAAGAATTGAAAAAAATTAATACGTTTTTTTCAGAAAAATTAGCGGAGGCAACAAGAAAATTTGCAACATTAACAACAGAATTAAGAGCATCAATTGAATCAGCACAAAGGGCTAATAAAAAAGCAAAAGATCCAAATAAATTTGAGTTGCCAAGAAGGAAAATTCAAGAATTTAAATTAGCATTCAGTGAATTTTATTTAAGTTTAATTTTATTACAAAATTATCAAAATTTAAATCATACCGGTTTCAGGAAAATTTTAAAAAAACATGATAAACTTTTAAGAGTTGATAGAGGAGAACGTTGGCGTAAAGAACATGTTGAAACATCTCATTTCTTTTTATGTAAAGATATTGATAATATTATAAATGAAACAGAAAGTGTTGTAACAAATGAACTCGAAGGTGGAGATCGTCAAAGAGCTATGAAAAGGCTTAGGGTACCGCCATTAGGTGAAAAACAAAGTCCATGGACAACATTTAAAGTTGGATTATTTTCAGGAAGTTTCATTGTGTTATTAATGGCTGTAGTATTATCTGCTAATTTTCAATCTTTAACAGCTGATGATCTTAAATTAGCATTGAGATTATATCGTGGACCTTTACTTGTAATTGAATTTGTTTTTTTGATTGGTTTAAACGTTTATGGTTGGCGATCGTCTGGTGTTAATCATGTTTTAATTTTTGAACTTAATCCTCGAAGTCATCTATCAGAACAACATCTAATTGAATTAGCTGCCATTTTTGGTGTTATTTGGACTTTAAGTGTTTTAAGTTTTTTGTACAGTCAAAGTCTTAGTATACCATTGTATGTGAATCCATTAATGTTAACAATGGTAATGATAATATTTTTAGTAAATCCATTTAAAGTACTTTATTATGATTCACGTTGGTGGCTATTAAGAATAACATGGAGAATGGTTGCAGCTCCATTTTATCATGTAAATTTTGCTGATTTCTGGTTGGCTGATCAATGGAATTCACTAGTAAATGGCTTATTAGATTTTGAATTTTTACTTTGTTTTTATTTAATTAATACAGATTGGGTATTTGTTCATAATTATTCATCTTGTTTGGAAAATGATTTTATAATAAGACCAATTGTCAACTGTCTACCAGCATGGTTTCGTTTTGCACAATGTTTACGGCGTTATCGCGATACAAAAGAAGCTTTTCCACATTTAGTTAATGCTGGGAAATATTCAACAACATTTTTAGTTGTAATTTCAGCTACACTTCGAAGCTATAATGCACAGTATTATTCGAGTGCCTATGAAAATCCATTCACTTGGATTTGGATACTTATGGCAACAATTTCATCAACATATGCATATCTTTGGGATATTAAAATGGATTGGGGTTTATTTGATAAAAATGCTGGTGAAAATAAATTTTTAAGAGAAAATATTGTTTATAATTCTAGCTATTATTATTTTGCAATTATTGAAGATTTATTTGCAAGATTCATATGGATAATATCATTTTATTTAACAGAAATGAAATATATAACTGGTGATGTTATGGGAACAATAACATCAATATTAGAAGTTTTTCGACGTTTCATATGGAATTTTTTCCGTTTAGAAAATGAACATCTTAATAATTGTGGTAAATTTAGAGCAGTTAGAGATATTTCAATTGCACCAATTGATTCATCTGATCAAACAATGATATTAAGAATGATGGATGAAGAAAATGGTGTTATAAATCGTTATACTGATTCAAATCGACCTAAGGTTAGAAAAACAAAAGATCCAGAGAAAAAAAGTTTACTTGGTCATAAAAATCGTTTATTAATGGATTTAGCTGCTGATGTTAATGGATCAAAAAATATTTAAAATTTTTTTATCCATTGTTAAAAAAATAAATAATTGTAAAGTGATAAAAAAAAACATGAAACCGAATGGTGCAAAGTACTTAATTAAAAATAATTTTTTTTTATTTTCTACAAATTATGATGTACTAATAAATATTAAAAAATTTAATCGAAAATGTGCAAAATTTTAGAAAAAAAAAAACGAAAAATAAAATAAAATACACCAGCTTTTTTGTTTTTCTCATTACAATTTATGAAAAATGAGTTGCCGCTGTTGTTTTTTGTTCTTTTTAAATGGTGTACTTAGTTTGCTATTCATAGTTATAAATTTCCTTAAAACACTTAATTTTTAATACAAATATCACATTTAAAAAGATTTTTAAAACAAAATCCAAAAAATTTCCTTCACAATGCAAGTGGTGGTTTTTTTTCATTATCTATATCAACAAATTCTACTCATACATTGTATGTTTACTTTTACTATTATAAAGTTATGTATATGGAAATATAGATGTACATACATTTGGTACATACAAACATTTGAATACACATAATGTGTTGTAAGAAATTTTTCATTATGTTATACATACATATGGGATTTTGTAAGACACATAAATAAAACTTTCATTTATTTTTAATTATACACGCTTATGGCACCATATTTCCATTGTTTTTAATAGCTTGTACTTTACCTGCAATGGAAACTATATGTAAAATATAAGATTTGTTGAGAAAAAAATATTGAAATCCCTTTAAATTTTAATGGATTTTTAAATATTTATTGTTTAAAAAAAAAAAATAATTTTAGTATACATAGATATTTCCTAATAATTTTTAGTGTAAATATAAAATATTTGGAAGATTCAGACAAAAAAATTTACTAAAAAATTTTTGTTATTTATATATTACATGGAAAATATGGTGTTCGAATTTGTATAGAAATTTTTTAAACATATTTAGAATAAACTGTAAGAAGTAAGAGTTATGAATAGAGTTTGTTAATCTCTTTTTAATGCTGAATTTATAGGACTAAATTGGTTCCGTTTAGGAGTAATTACAAACTTACATCTAGCTAAAATTTACATCTTTTGATTATAGTAGAAAAATAAAGGCTGTGGTAACAGTACAGGCACATAAAAAAGATATGAAACATTGAAGACAATATTGCATTTGACTTTTTATATTAAAAATGTGGAGAGCATTTTTGTTTTAATCTGCTGAGTAAATTAGATGTGTAAAAAGACTTCTAAAATTTTATTTAGAATTTTCACAGTGCATGTCTGAATTATCGAAAATCCCCTATATCTACATTTAAAAAACTCAAAATTCGAACATATCATTCAAGTACATCACTCCCTTGTTTCTCTTAAGAAAATCATTAACAAAATTTAAGAAAATTAGATTATTATAAAGTTATAATTGACATTTTTCCCTACATATTTATATATATAATTATTTTATTTATTTTAAAATAATTTTTAAAATTTGGGTTCTTTTTGTATTTTTAAATTGTGTAGAAAAAACAACACAAAAAAACCTTCTCTGAATTTACTTTTAATGTACAAAAGATGCAAAAAAAGTTTTTCATTTAGCATAAATCACTTAAATTTTTTTCTTTTTTTTTAATTTGTGCTTACTCTGAATTATTTTATACTGTACATACATACATACATATACAAACAAACATAGATATTGTTGTAATTCTAACGATAAAAATGCATATTATGTAACACTAATTTTTTTCTCTTTCTTTCTTCCTGCTCTTAAACATTGCACTTACATACAAACATATTTGTACATTTTTATATATTTTATTATTATGGTATTTAATCAAGTGCAAAAAAATGTTTTAACAAGGAAAGTAAAAGTTTTCAACGTTTTTATATTTTTTGTAATTTTTTACAAGTTGATTTTTATTCAAACTTCATTTTTTTTTTTTCTCTAACTTACATACTGTACGTATATATGTATGTATATTCATGCATACGGGTATATTTACTTTAATTTCAACATTATGTAAGCTTTGTAATCTGATAGCATATTTTTATATGTACTTATATACAAACACAAACATTTAATGTAAATTTTCACAATAAGAAACACTATAAGCCTTACATTATATTTAAAATTCACTTTTATAAATTCTAACCGCACGAAAATTTTTATAATAATTGCAATCAAATTCAAAAGAATATAAGTGTAACTCTGAATATATAAAATGAAGAATTTAATTTAAATATTTGCAATTTATAAAAATACTTTTAATTATTATATGAAAAAACTCTTTTTAATTTTATTCAATTTTTATTTTACAAATTTTAAAATTAATTTATAATATTGCAGTTTAATAATTTTTAAGAGTAATTCATAGAAGAACACCACCTCAAATAATATAAGCAATTTAATTTACATATTTTACTTTTTAAATTTCTTAAAAATATTTATTTAACACTTAGATTTATGTAGTGCTAATAACGGTCTACATTATTATATTAAAAGAGTCCGTTCCGATATATTATAATTTTTTTTATTTAAAATTTAAAATAACAATTTTATATTATTTTATTGCAATATTTAAAAAAAAAACGTATTACACAATTTACTAAACTTTTATATATATACGTAGATTCTTTTCGCTTTTTTTTTATAATAATAATAACAGTAATAATAATAATAAAACGATAATATTATACAGTTAAACGCGTTCATTCATCAAAGCCTGTTACACCTGAACTGGACAGAAAATTCTATGGCTAACAAAAAACTTTTTGAATTTTTCACACAATATTGTAACAATAAAATGTACATTTCTATACATACATATTATATTTGTATATAATTTATTATATGCATATATGTATGTTTGTATCTATGTATATATATAAGTAGTGAAAAAAATTCGTTTGTCTAATTCGTTTGCGCTTAAAACTTTTTTTTTTATGTAAGTTTCGAATGTATGTAACTAGGTATGTAATTGTATACATTTAAACTTATTTCAGCAACTGTTTAAAATCGCATTCATGCCATCATTACAGACTTTTGAAGGTGTATATATATGTAGTTAAAAGTTAACGGCATATAATAGAAAACGTAAACAGTGCAAATATTTTTTTTTCTATTTTGTGATCGCTTAGGTATTGTTACTTAAAAAAAAATAAAATAAAATATAGTTGATATTATTATAGTTTGTATATAATATTAAAAATAAAAATTAAAAAAAAAAAATTATAAAAAAAAATAACACAACTAAATCTTAGGATACTTTTACAATACTCAAATAAAATTTATAATTAATTAGAATGAAAATAATTTGTACAATTAAATAGAAATTATTATATGTACAATATAGATTAAGTAATTTGAAATACCCTTGCATAAATTAAGGAGAATTTCAAAATATTAAAATCGTGTGTACCAAAGGGCTCGAATTTTGTTTTTGAACATTATAGATTTATTATGGACGATATTCAAGAATTTTAATCATAAAAAAATATTGCAAACCCAGTAGCTGACGGTGTGACTAAGAGAGAGGATAACACACTTCTGTTTGAGCCGAACCATTTCTGTGGAATCGTACCTCATACTGTTTACTGGAAACTAAGAAAAGAATCAGAGAGGAGGCGGTCGAAGCGCTACAGGGTTTTTCCAGGGCTGGGAGACTTCTGTAGCGTTACGACAACCAAGGAACTTCTGAAAAATTTTGACCAGAAGCGATTTAGGAAGATCAGACGGTTGAGAAAAGATCAGCTGGGAATTCTCACTGGGCTCTTGTCTTGAAGCTCCCGCTAATAGGAGAAGTGAAATACTGGAACTTTGCACTCATGTTGCTCAAATTCAAAAGGGGGGAGGCTCGACCGATTATTAGGACATTCTCGTTACTCAGAGGGGAGAGGGCAGAATTTTAATTAAGACAACTGTTAGAATAAATTTTATGTGATTAATTACAGATGTATTCGAAGTTCCAACTAACTTCTTTTTATGGGCAGGTGTATTTGGTAAAGTCTTGCATACATAAAATGTTACATGTTTAAAAGATTAAATATGTTGTTTTAAATGGAGCGCTATATCATAATTCATATACATAATTATTAACGTCATAATATAGTGTCTAACTACTCCTTAATTACGGATTGACCAGATCCTATTCAAAAGCCCTTGAAATGATTCAAAAGACTTGAAATATAAGTAATAAATTAGATTCTTGAGAAAAAAAATATCATTACAAATCTCATAAAGTATACAAGCATTTATAAAAAACATTCACTATCAATTTCAGATTAGTATCAAATATTAAACATAAAATATTTTGATATTGTGACACACATGATAGGCATCAATTAAATTATTATGCGATCGATGTATATATGTATGTACATACAATATAAAATTCAATGAATTTTAAAAATTAATAAATTTTCCACCATATTGTTATCACATAATATCGTATACAATAAACAATGGTCAAACAGAATGTATAATAATGTTATTATAGAGATAATGGATTTTGATTTTATTATATAGTTGAATCATTATATTGCAAACGAAAAATATGATATGTGCTATCATTATCTTTATAAAACAAACATACATACATATAACGTATGTACATATAAAATGAAAACTGAGAGAAATAGAAAACAGTTAGTAATATAAGAAAACTGTTAATTTTACATAGATATGTATAAAGAATAAACAAAAAATAAACATAGAGCTATTAAACAAAAAATTTAATTTATTCTACACGAAATGAGACACAAATCACTTACACAGCTTTTACATTATACATATATGTACATACATACAAAACCTTTTATGAATGTACTGACAGTGCTGGCAATTTTATTTATTCTTTCTTCAAAATTAAAGTTTTATATGGATTTTAGGTGCGAATTATTTTATAAGTGCAAATTTAATAATAATAATAAAAAAAAATAATTAAAGATAACGGAATTCACTTTAAAAATATTATACAAAGGTGTCATACGTCCGATAGTCAAACAAAATATAAAAATTGCAATTTTAATGAAAAATTTTAAGGAGTAAATTGAATATAATTTCGATACTTGGTATAATATAAATTGAATCGTACTCAATACAATATTTAAATCAAAGTGCCACCAAGCAAATGAAAACCTATTTCTCCAATAGCCACTCCAGTAACCAATTCTGTTTAAAATGCTCCTTTTACGCTATAAAACGTGCTATATATATATATTTATAGAAAGACAACAAAAATCCAAGAACGCGTCAATATAATTATCGAATAATCATCGAACAAATTTGGCAGGATCGCAAATATCCAAAGAATTACGATTTTATACTGTTAAATCAGCAATTAAAAATTTCTATATGTAGTTATATTTTGTGGTAAAAAGTCACTATTAAGTCGAACGACCATTTTATAATGGTGACATTTAAAAACACACTAAAAAACTTAATTCGTCATATTTATAAATTTGACTAATTTTGAAACTGTCTCTCGTTTTGAAATTTCGATTAAAGCGATAATTTTTACAAGGGGTAGGAATATACATTGGTAAGAAATTTCTCCGGTGAAATAGATGTAATATACCCAAACAAACTTGCGCGCTGACTACCTGAAAGCAATTGTCTATAGTTAAATAGACCACGTCTGCTTAATGCATACTACAAAATATACTATTGAAAATATCTCTATAAATTTACTACAACGTATATATATGTAAACCGTTCTGTATTTATATAATTATTACATTATGTGAATATACCACTATATATATATATATGTATGTATGTATAAAATTTTTATACTTGCATTACATTTTTAACTTTCGATACATAGTATTGTATATAAATTTACTTATTACTTCGTTTTACATATTATTACTATATTTTGCAAAAGAAAACTTGGAAAAAGCTTGGAAAATTAAATTCAATATCATTAGAATTGAGAGGGGGGAGAACTTGAATAGTGGAGTTGTTTTTTGTTTTTTTTTTTTTTTGTTTTATTATGCTGGTGTCATATAGCCCAGTACAGTATTACCATTTATATACGTATAATGATACACATATACATATGTATATACAAATATATATAGTTTTTATTAAATAAAATGCAAGTGCAAGTCATATTGTATTTGAAGCACCCTAATTTATATTTGTACACTTTATTTTATATATATTAATTCTCTTGTATATTTATTTATAGTGAATACATGTAAATATTGCAATATGGGAACAGCATAACTAGCATGATTGTAAACTCTGTACCATATATATTATTGACTTTTATGGAACATAAATGATTTATAAAAAATAAACTATTTTTGTTTAGTGACAATGGATACATTAAATTGTCTTATTTCTACATACCTATCTATTATGTATATATATTGCTCTTATATACAATTAATCTTTTACTTACAAATAACAAAATGCAATTTAATATAAAATCGATTCATAAAATTGTAAATAATCTTACAAGATTTTGGAACAAAATATAAGATGAAAAAAGTTTTGCTTAATAATTTAAGTTTTTTTTTTATAATAGAACTCCGCGCCCCCGTAACACATGTATGTGTACCTACTTAATTTCAATTAGAAGTTTGTGGTTGTTAATTAATATAGCTAGCCTATATTTGCATTTAACGAAATGATGAAAATATTTATAATTTTCTCATATTCATAAATTGGTAATATTTATTTAAAATGCTATTCTTGAATTAAAAACCCATGTTTTAAATTAAAAATGTTAAAAATAATAAAGATGGCGTGATGGATTGAAAACAGCAAGACAGGAAAAGTTTTTAATTAAAATTTAACCTCAAAAAATAATCTGTCAATGTTTGTTTTATTTGAACAAATTAATTTAAAATCAATTAAATTCATATAATAATTAATTTTATTGACAATTATTGAAAATTTAAAAATAGTTTTATAAAATTTTAAAAAAATTAAAAAAAACTATTGACATTTTACATAAAATGAGAAATTTATATTTTGTTTTGGAATAAATGAAAAATTTGAGGACTACAAAGTTTCACGAATCTACCATAGTATATGCAAAGTAAGAAAGAAAAAATATAGATGGGTAGGTCACATACTTAGGAGGGCAGAACAATCCATAGCAAAGCAGGAATTGGAATGGAATCCCCAGGGTAGGAAAAACATCGGCAGGCCTAAGAATACATGGCGAAGAACAATAGAAAAAGAAATAACAGCTGCAGGCAAGACTTGGGCGTTAATAAGATCTATGGCTCAAAATAGAGAGAGATGGAGAGGTTTAATAGAAGCCCTATGCTCCTCAATAGAAGTTTGAAAGGAAAAAAAAAAAAAAAAAAATATGCAAAGTAAGCATTTATAATGAGCACCGGAAAACAAGGGCGCCATTAAAAACCTAAAAAAAGGAAAACTAAATTGAAAAAAAAATTTTAAATTTTTTCTATCACGTGTTTTATGAAAATGATCTAACAATTTCGTGTGAGTGTTTTCGTATATGGTTGCTTACATATTAAAAATTGCTGAAACTGGGTGGTTTTGTAAATATTTAACGTGAATTTTAGAGCAACATTCATAATTTATCATCTTATATGCATTCCAATTGAAAAAAACAAGTGCAAATGTATAAGTCCCTTTAGTAAAGTTTGTAAGATATTGAGTAGTCTCAATATAGTAGGAAATACGGTATTTCTCTGCCGAAATTATCATATTATGCTTCTTACATACATACACACATGACATATACATATATGTATGAATGCATTCGATTCATAACTAATTTATTGGTATACTTTCCTAATACTTCTTACTTAAATTAAATATCATTTTGTATGTAAATCTCGTACCGTACCATATATGTATACTTGTACTTACATACTTTTTAGAAAATTTTCTTTATTAAGAATGTTTACAAATATACAAATTATACGGGTAGTTCGACAAAAAAAGTTGATTAAATTTTAGGAAGACAGGAAAAACCAAATTTGATCAATAATATAAAAGTATCAATTTATTTTATGCATGATGTCATTATCGTACCACCCAAATAATATTTTTTTTCTTTTATATTTTCTTGTCTTAAAACCGAAATAAAAAAAAAAGAATTCGCACAAAAGAATTGTAAAAATATGCAGTGGTGGAAGGTAATCGTTATAGCAGTGTTTATAACATTTTTTGTTTAAAACAAGAATAGGAACCAAAACCATTATTAATTTTTCCAATTACAAAGATGATTTTCCGTAAGGAATACAACTACAAAATATAAATTCATTTAAAATTTAGGAGATGGATGTATAATACTTACATTTTCTTTGGAATCTAACTGTAATCCCTCAAACTTCTTGAGAGATAATATATTTTTTTCGTCATCATTTTTAATAGATGTTTCTGTTAATGGCACAGGTAGTGGTGACGAATAATTTTTAATTGTGCTTTGATCGTTCATCATCTTAATAGCCACACTTTTTCACATCATAATGAAAAAATCTAAAAATAGAATTTTATTTAAATTTTAGTTATTTTTAAATTTTTATTAATAATGCAAAAAAACAAATTATAAAAAAAAACAGAAATATATTTGACAAATAACATAAAGAATTCGTTCTAAAGAAAAAAAATCCGATTATCAACAAAGATTCATGCTGATCGTGTTCTTAGTTCCATTCAAAAATGTTATGTTATTTCTAAAAATTTAAATGAGTTCAAGTACTAATAATGGAAAAACACAATATACGAGTATGTGATTCATTTCCCCATACTCGTATAGTTTAAGCAAAATCTTAAAATCAATCATTAATAATTTTCATTCTCAGCATAAAAAACCGTTGCCTTAAGTTATTTATAAATCAAGATAAACTTGTTATAATTATTAAAATTTAATAAATCAAAACAAATAAATTTTTACTCATAATATAATTGTATACACAGGGTGTCCGAGCCTCAACAGTACTCCCTCGGTTGGCAGTAGGGTGATAAAATGACTCCAGACGAACATGAAACACCTATTGACATTTTGCTTTTTAGGCCCTCCTTCTCGAACTACGAGGCCTCAAAGTTTAAACTTCTGAAAACCGTTTAATTCTTATTTTTTTATTAATAACTTGGGAAATATAAGAAATAAAGCCAACAAAGTTTCATGAACATCTGCCCATAAACGAAAACTTAAAATTACATTTGATATTGATTACAAATTTTTATAAATAAGATTACACATTTGATACTAATTTTTGAGAACATTATGTTATGTTATTAATCTAACTGGGCGAGTGCTGTTGAGTGTCGGACACCCTGTATTGGAAACTTGAATTTATTTAATTCAAATGTTTTGTTTCATTTATGAATGGTGACAGAAAAATGAAAAATTTTAAAGTGAATTGAAATCTCCTACATTGGGAAAAAAAACCACAAATTTATTTTTTTTATTTTTTTAAAAAAATTAAAAATTATTGGTATTTAATATTGTTTATCCTTTTCTATAAAATATTTAATCAAACCAATTATACATACAATATCAAATTGTTACAAGCCATTTGTATAATGAATGTGAAGTAAATAATTGAACATTAAATGAAATAAATGAATTTATAAAATAATAGTAATTTAACATAGGTATACTACCGCTGCCATTAATAGTACACGAGAGTATAACGTGCATAATGAAAATAAAAACAAAGAAACTATGCACGTAAACTATTGTAACTAAAATATCCAGAAGAAAAGCAAAATTTAACAATATGTGCTCCTAAACATATGCAAAAAAAATATCAGTGTAAGTGAAATTTTTGTTTACCTGTGGTATATGCAATACGTACTCTTTGTTACATTATTATTATCGTACAATTCCAACAACAAACAATAAAATATTTTATTTATGCAATAAGTAATTTACAATAATTATTATCCGTGTGTATGCAATGCATGTACACATACATTATATTGAATTATAATTATTAGTGGATTACATAATTATTGATTACGTACTTTGGATTTGTATGGACAAAAAAGCAATTTAAAACTACTTTGATAAGAGTAAAAATTTAAAAACAGAAAAATCAAAGATGATAAAATTGAGAAAAATTCAACTGTCATAACACTTTTGCTGTAAATTTGAAATCGCGTCATTATAGATAATGTTAAATAATTATTGCAATATTAAAAACTCAGCGAAAGAGATAAAATTATTTTTGAAGAGCATACAAGAAATTAGATTAAGCAAAATACTTGAGAAAATTTAAAATGAGTAAAATAATCGAGTTAAAGGAGTGTTGATATTTAATTAAAATTTAGAAAATTGTACGCGATTATCACGTAATTGGTAAACAATGACCAATACATTATGATTTAATTAACATTTTTGTTTTAAATAAATATATTCAATACGCATTTATTTGTAGTTAATATATACACCTATATATATGTACATGAAAATTACATAAATACAATAGTCTTATTCAAATATTCTGATCACATACAATACAAAATTTTTTTATTTATATACTACCTTATACAAGTACATGTATGTATGCATATGCACATGTCCTTCGGCAATTTTAAAAAAAAAAACCAAATTAAAATCTCTTCCCACATATCTTGTTAGCATAACATACATTTTTAATTACTTAAGAGCAATTTATTTATATATGTACTAGCATTTAATGTATATATGGACGCTTATCTTAACATATTGTATATAAACGCACGTACGGACAAAAAATGTAATTTAAGCTTTCGTCATTATTGTAAGCATCGATCATTTACAGTGAGCACAACATTTTGTATATATAAACATTATTGTAGGTTATGTATAAACAAGTTTATTAATTTGATTCATAAAATTTTAACTGGAATTAAAACGTAATCATATAAGATGTATGTACGTGAATATGATAAATGTAAAAAGAATTTGTCATCAGATGATGATTGCCTACACCTCAATATTTTTTTTTTTTTAAATATTAAAGTAAAAATTGTAAACAAACAAAATAAAAATAATAAGAAAAAAAAAGGTGAATAAAAAATTCTGAAAAAAAAAATTATTTTTTTTTTATTCTTTTATGCTTTTATTCTTGTGTATAATTTTTGACAATTTCTTAAAGAAAATGGGGAAAAAAAAGTTTATATGGAAGAACTTTTCTATGTATTTAAGATTTTAACTCTCATTTTATTATAAATACTCGTTTGTATCTTCTTAAATTTTAACACATGCATGTTATTTTTAATTTACATTTTTTTTTAAAACTTTTAGAAAAAGTAGCAAAGTCCATGTTATAGCTTACAACTTTTTCAAGTGTTCGTTTAATTTCGTTATAGTTGAAAAGAAATAAAAATGTTATGTCACTCTATCTATTTACAAGGGTGTATTTGTTGTTTTATTATTATTAATTAATTGAATCAGCAATTCGCCGCATTTATTTGTTATAGCATATTTTAGTAATGATTAAACTGTATATTTCACTGTTTTGAATTTTTTACTGTAAAAGTTTAATATTTAGTGCATGCTTGTATTGAAAAACTCTAGTAAAGCAATCAATGACATTTTGTTGTTTAGAAAATATTGTATGCCGTTGAAATTTGGAGTGATACTGCAGTTTCTAGTTATGGCTACTTGATTTCTAGTCGATTTTGGTTTAGAGAGATTGTATTACTACAAAAATCAGAAATTACAGAAGAAATTACAACGAATAACAAGACTGATTTTATGTTTGCATCCCTTATCAACTCTAGTCTTACGTACATAAACTGGATAATTAAAAAAAAACAAGTAAGGTAAATATTGTCAAAATAAAAATAAGCAAATAACTGATGTAGCAAAGTAATATTTTATTTGCTGCAAATTCTGTGACAAAATTCTCACAGAACTACAAACTAAAACGAACTGCTTTTTGTACAATATAGTAAAGTAACAAAAACGGACTGCCGCTGAAGTTCTTATGTCAAAACTGCAATCTCAAGTATGATACAGGTGTATGAGTATATGACTTTTAGAATCATATCTGAAATTTTAGCATTTTTTGTGTGATAATTCCTTAATGGTTTCAATACAATAACTACAATATAAGCCCTAAAACCTAAAAATAAATATTAATCTGTATTTCTTAAATTGCAAGTACTTTGATATATATATATATAATATATATATATATATATATATATATATATATATATATATATATATATCATATATATATATACATATATATATATATATATATATATAATTAAAATATTGATAAAATTGTTGTTTTACTTGATTCATAATCAAGAATTAATTAAATTAAATGCTTGCAATGCACAATGTCAAAAATTATTGAGAATTCAATTTAAATTGTTTACGCATGTGGCAACCATAATTTTTTTTGAAAATTTTTTTTTTGACATAATTTTTTTAAAAACGTACACCTGCCTCTGTAAAAATTTTCGTATATATATAGATATATATACATGTTTATCGATATATATCTATATGTGTATATAAATGCATAAAAAATATATGTATATCACCATATAAGTGATATTTCTATATAAGGAATCTTGCTTTATCTTGTGACTAAGTGCAACTCATCATATTAAATCTGATGAAACTCACATATAATTTTGATATATTATTTATATACATACATATATGTATATATATTTATATAATTTCTGTTTACTTAATAAAATAATATTTTAAAATTATAATAATTATACACTTATTGAATATATATGTATATATATATATATAGTTTAAGTATTTGAAATAGTTTAATTGAATTTAATATAAATTATTGGCTATTGCACGTACGGTTTAGGTTTTTTTTCGTGTTTTCAAAGAAAATGTTTTTACTTAGAATTCTAGAGAGTTTATAAAGAAGCTTATAGAAATCTAGAGAGAAGAGAAGAAGCTTAGAAATCTTTTGGCCTTAGAAGAGAGAAGAGAAGAAGCTTAGAAATCTAGAGAGTACAAAAATGGAATGAATCTAGTATACATGTCACAAAATGAATCATCAATTATAATTTTTAAATATAAATATTTTATAATATAAAAGTTGTAGGTCAAATTTTATACACATTCACTTATTCATGAACATTTTTAATAAAGTTTAACACCCAAAATAAATTTTCTCTTGTCAAATAATTTAAACACATCATATAAAATGTCGAAATAAACACTACCTAATATAATAGTGCATAATCATAAATTTAAGGTTACATAATCATAACCTTAAACACTCTGAAAACAATATTGGAAATTTTCTATATTGGAAAAATCTATTTTGGAAAAAATATTTTCTACGAGTATATTATTAATTTTATAAATAATGTCCACAGTTAACTAATCTAAGTATTTTTCATTCTTTCGTAATCCAAGACAAATATTTATGGTTAAAAATATAAAATATAATACTTAACAAGAAATATCGATTGTGTGTGTATAAAAAAAGTTTCAAAAACCACAAAGTAAATATCGAATAAATTTTTTTTTTCAATAGAATCTAAAAATCTCA